GGGGGGGGGGGGGGGGGGGGGGGCAAAAAGAGGGTCTCGGTATAGCGGTCATGTGGAGGAAGAAACTTGGCTCGGATTCTGACAACCGTAATCGCCGAGTCGGGCTTACTCGCAGGCTCTGCATCAACCACGACCACGATCGTAGACGTAGAACTGGGTGTCTAGACGGGAGGTCACACACAGAACGGCAATATGAGCGGAGAAGATGCATTCGGGGGGCCGCGGGAGGATCTGTGGAAGACAACCGATGGCGGAACGATCAAGGCGCACCGACACATTCGTATCGACTGGAATGCATCGATCAAGAAGACGATCACCATTGGACCGTCGGCACCCGAAGCATTGCCGCCGATCTACGATCGACCGGCAGCAGAGGATGAAGCTGCGACTGCGGCGTCGTGTGTGCTAAAGACCAAGGCGAGTCCCATCAATGCCACTGTGCACGTCGCGCACGAATCGCACTCGCAATCTTCAAGCTCGGCTGGTCAGCCGGTGCTGGTAAGCGCCAAGACCGGAGGCGTGGGTTTGATATCGCTGGGCATACCCGACTACTCGGGCTCGCGACCGTTGCACATCGTCGCCAAATCCAGCAGTGGCAACATCACCATCCTCCTCCCATCCTCCTTCTCCGGCAATCTCACCTGGTCGTCGGAACGAGGCTCGCTCAAACTGTCCCATGCCGTCCAGCAACGTTTCCGACTCGACGGACCTCGGCACAAGCACATCGGCACAGCCAAGATCGCACCCAGCACGGCCTCGGGCAACCGCGCGGACTCGTGCACCCTCACCAGCCACAACGGCACCATCACCGTCAAAGAATACGGCGAAGAGTCGGATGCCAAAGCATGTACAATCCAATGAGCCAAAAGACGTGCAATCCTTGTCGTCATCAATTGGCATTGCAAACGTGAGCCGCTCTATAACAGCTTGGCGTTGGTGGGTGTGCCCTTGCCGACGCGCTTGCCCGTCTCGGCGCGGCCCTCGCGACGCAGCTGCTCCACCTGCGGATGGCGTGCCACCTGCGACGGCATGACGCCAGGCGTGGATGCTGGGCGCGTGATCCCCTCGGGATCCGATATCGCCAGCTCGGGCGGACCGGTGCCGAGGTCGATCAGAGTGTGGCCCGAGGAAGAGGAGGAGGAGGAGCAGGAAGAGGCGTCCGTTGCGAAGTAGCGTCCTTTGGCCGCGGGAGCCGTCTTGTGCGGCGCAAAGTCCTCGAGCGCGATGCCGGACACGGCTGCTCCGATGCCGCTGCCTGTGCCGTTGGGAGCTGTAGGCGTCACAGTGCCACTGCGACTGTCTGAGGAGGAGAGATCAAGCGAGACGGGGCCGGACCCCCATCGCGGCGTCGAGACGGACGACATGTCGCTGTCTGCGACTTCCTCCGAGATGACGCTGATGCCGCGCGTCGTGGCACCGCTGAGCGCATCGCGACACAAGTCCTTGAACGAGCGCGTACGAGATCTCAGGCCGGTTCCAGGCACGGGCAAGGCACCTGTAGACAGCGCCAGTGTCGAGCCCGAACGTGCATGCTCCTGCCGCCGCGCGCGTTTGGCTGCTAGTGTCGAGAGCCGTGTCCTGGCATCGCCGCCATCGGCGATGCTGGCGTAGCTGTACCCAATGCCAATGCCAAACGGCAGCTGAAGGTAATGCAGGTCCGGAGGAGCTTTGCGCTCCAGGTCATCTTCGTCCGAGTCATCGTTGAGTTCGTTGTGAGGCGAGGAGGCGAGTGACGAGGCTGCGGCACTGCTGCGACGCGAGAGGGCGGGCGGGGTGACGATGCGCTCCTCCTCTTCTTCGAGCGACGGCGCGGCGAGATGGGTGGGGATGGATGTGTAGCTCGAGTCGCTGCGGTAGAGGGTGCGTGTGGGCCTGCCTTCGCCCGACCTTCTGCGCAGGGGCGAGCGTGGCTGACCGATGGTTTGAAGCCTTCGGTACATCTCCTGCGCTGCGAGGGTGAGGACGCCGACGGCGAGAATGCAGACAATGATGAGACCGATGAGCAGTCTCGAGTTTGAGTTGGGCACGAGCGGCGGGCGGCTGACGGGGGCGTCGCGGCGAGAGAAGAGGGTGGCGAGGGCGCTGCCCGGATCGGTGCGACGGACAAAGACGTAGCCGCTGCCGGTCTGCTTGCCGACGAGGTCGCCATTGTAGAGGTTGGAGCGCGGCGAAGATGGTCGCGCTTCGTACGCAGATCCTTTCGCGGAGAGGCGGAAAGAGTGAGGATCTGGATACGGCGGCGACGCAGCGTCTTGGTCCGGCGATGATGCTGCGTGGTACGGCCCATCTGGCAACGGCTGTGGGTCAGTGTCGAGGCGCGTATCGTCAACGTGCAGCCGATTTGGCTGCTCTGCGTACTGGAAGGTGATGTGCTCGCGACGGTTCAGTGGATCCGAAGTCGCGGCGGAGGATTGTGCACCCGACTTGTCGTCTAATGATCTGCTTGCACGCCCCTGGGCCGAGGCCACGTCGCCACGACTTGGATCGAGGGCATCTCTTGGCGCTATCGAGTGTGCTGCAGGGGCGTTGGAGGCTGCAAGCGAGGGTGTGATTAGAGAGCTGGCTAGGACGACGGATGCGCATGTCGCAAGGGTGCACAGAGTCGAGATCGCGCCACGTGGCCTCGACGGTCGTTGCCGGAGGGGCGGAGAGGGCCGTGCGGATGGCATGTCCGCGCGTGCCGTGAGGTGGGAGCCAAGGATGGTGCTAAGAAATGGTGTGCGATGGAAGAGCTGGATGCGACAGGACGGAGGCAGCCCTGGACGGCAGACGGTCGCAGATGGTGTGACGCGAGGTGCGACGGCTGACTACGAGTGTGAGAGATGCATAGCAAGGTGAGATAGGAGAGCGGTGTCGCAATGGCTGCGGCGCAGAAAGCTTGGCGATGCGAACGACTGCAATGGTGGGACGATTGCGATTGACGGAGGCTGGATGAGGTCGAGAATGCTATCGATGCGCACGAACGGCGGGATGATGGTGATGCTTTTGATTCGGCGAGCCTCGAGCGGGGAGGATCCTTGCGAAGAGAGTAGGCGGATGGTGGCGAAGATCTTGCTCGAGCTTGATCGTGATTTGCGAGACAACGATGGAACGACTCGCGCTGTGACGGTGTGACGAGATCAGCCGAACGAGGGCGCAAGAGTAGCAGGGAAATAGGAGTTGAAGAGGGACGGGACAAGGGGATGCGTGCAAGACCTGCGGCTCGAAGGAAAGCCGGTTGCGATGGGGAGGTAGAAGTGCGCTTCGATGGCAGCTCCATCAAGCTCGCAACGTGGATTGGCGATGCGGAGCGGAGGCCACGCACTGACACTCGCTCACTCACTCACTCGCCCACACTCGAGGGCGAGGGGCGACGCATCCCACCTCCGCTCTGCACCAGCAGCCTCAGCAGCCCCAGCAGCTCCAGCCCGCCTCCCCGCCACGCTCCTAATCCGTCAGCCGGTCCTCGGAAGAGCGCCAACAGGGTCGATTTCTTTGAATCCTGTTAGGCCGCCCATCATCCGCGCGTAGAGTTTGGTCCTTGCTCTGGTTGTCCGCCCAACATCCCGAAGGCCCGAGCTATTCAGGCTCAGCCGCCCTAGCAGCCGTGTCGATAGCAGCCGTGCCGACTCGAGGGCCACATGCTTACTGGCTAATGCAAACAGAACGTCGCCAAGATGACACGAGGGGGCTGCGCCTAAAAAAAGGGAATGGCCTCCGCTCACCTCACGGGGGGATGGGGCAAAAAGTTCAAAAAAGAAATGCAACCTGGAGGAATCGA